TCAATGAATCGCTTCCCTACCTTAGATAGTTCTACTGAAAACATTGTCACGTGAACTTGTATGTTAAAAGTAATCTTATATCTAATATCATTTTTTCTTCAATTTACAATAAATAATATGATTTTTCTATTTGTTTTAGAGAAACTTTAAAAGTTCCTGAAATTTTAAAGTTTTTTCATATTAGTTGTGCTGAATATTTTCCATTATTTCAAAGAAGACAAAATAAAAAATGATAATTCGATATAATGTGGATGGAATTTTGAAGGTAACTTCTGTGAACTGGCGATAAGTAAATCACAAATAATTACGAAAATGTTATCACGAATCACGGTTTACATAAATGTTATCACGAATGTTTACGTAAATGTAATCACGAATCACGAATATTTACGTAAATGTTATCACAAATGTTTATGTAAGTATCACGAATCACGAATGTTTACGTAAATGTTTTCAAAAATGTATATGTAAGTATCACGAATCACGAATGTTTATGTAAATGTTATCACGAATCACGAATGTTTACCTAAATGTTATCTTTATAAAATGTTCATAATACCAATGTCTATAAGTACACGCATGTAGAACTTCTGAACACTAGTTCAGAAACTGGAGATTCACGACTGACAAAAATGTCCGTTACATAAAGGCGGCTTATCTGAGAAACAATATGACACTTTCGGCTTACTTAACTGTATTTGTTCTAGATTTCGTACATCTTGTGTGTATGTGTATAACCTATCCATCGATAAATTGTTTGGTTTACGAGAAGTCAAAACTCTGACATAATTTTGCCAAGTATAATGGGTTTTTTTCATTATAACCGGTCATTTGAATGCGTCCCTAAATAATCACAGTTATTGATAGGACATTAAATAATATAAAGCCAAACTTTCGTTTGAAATCCACCTTCCTAGTTACTTGTAAATATCTATAATTATTGTAAATGGCTCTGTTCCCTCGCTATGCCTGTTGTCATGACACATCCTTTACATCAACATTAGAGAACCATTAGATATATCCAATGAAGATAACCTAATGTATTTACTCAACAATAACATGACCATAAATCTTTAATTCCTGCATAACATTAAGACTTTCACACACTAGGATATTATCTTCATAGCCAAACTTTGTTTAAAATCGGGTTTTATTCCACGATTTTTTGATAAAATAAACACCATTCCTAAAGTCAGCAGTGGAAAGTATTTCAGTTTTGTCGTTCATTCTGTAAACATTTCGCAGATCGTTTAAATTAGAACCACTCCATGTATATATTTAGAGTTAACCCCAATATCACTAGTGCTACTAACGGTTCATTTAGGTGCGTCGCACTGTGACAGATAGGTGGACATTTGGAACAACTTTCCACAGTCTGCGGTGTTCACATAATCCGTTAGATGAGTGCTCTCGCACACGTGATCAACGTGTGCGTTATGAAAAAAAGTATCAAAATGATAAAGTAAACGATCAGAAAACAACAATTATTGTCTCTATAACAATTTTTGTAAAACGTTTCTTAGGGAAACCCCACAAGCGTTTTGAATAATTTGCAAAATTGACACTCAAAATAAAATTTTAAAGGTTTGTTTTAAAACGTACCACAAACACTGCATGATAATTTGAGTGAACTAGATTGACAAGACTGCCGTTTAGTTTCTAAATCTAAGATATCAATAATGGAAATAAAAAATACTGACATGTGAAACAAAATCTCAGCTCCAACCCAAAGTCCACATACCATGGTTAGTGACAAAATCTCAGCTCCAACCCAAAGTCGACATACCATGGTTAGTGACAAAATCTCAGCTCCAACCCAAAGTCGACATACCATGGTTAATGACAAAGTCTCAGCTCCAACCCAAAGTCCACATACCATGGTTAGTGACAAAATCTCAGCTCCAACCCAAAGTCCACATACCATGGTTAGTGACAAAATCTCAGCTCCAACCCAAAGTCGACATACCATGGTTAGTGACAAAGTCTCAGCTCCAACCCAAAGTCGACATACCATGGTTAATGACAAAGTCTCAGCTCCAACCCAAAGTCGACATACCATGGTTAGTGACAAAGTCTCAGCTCCAACCCAAAGTCGACATACCATGGTTAGTGACAAAGTCTCAGCTCCAACCCAAAGTCCACATACCATGGTTAGTGACAAAGTCTCAGCTCCAACCCAAAGTCCACATACCATGGTTAGTGACAAAGTCTCAGCTCCAACCCAAAGTCCACATACCATGGTTAGTGACAAAGTCTCAGCTCCAACCCAAAGTCGACATACCATGGTTAGTGACAAAGTCTCAGCTCCAACCCAAAGTCGACATACCATGGTTAGTGACAAAGTCTCAGCTCCAACCCAAAGTCGACATACCATGGTTAGTGACAAAGTCTCAGCTCCAACCCAAAGTCGACATACCATGGTTAGTGACAAAGTCTCAGCTCCAACCCAAAGTCGACATACCATGGTTAATGACAAAGTCTCAGCTCCAACCCAAAGTCGACATACCATGGTTAGTGACAAAGTCTCAGCTCCAACCCAAAGTCGACATACCATGGTTAGTGACAAAGTCTCAGCTCCAACCCAAAGTCCACATACCATGGTTAGTGACAAAGTCTCAGCTCCAACCCAAAGTCCACATACCATGGTTAGTGACAAAGTCTCAGCTCCAACCCAAAGTCGACATACCATGGTTAGTGACAAAGTCTCAGCTCCAACCCAAAGTCGACATACCATGGTTAGTGACAAAGTCTCAGCTCCAACCCAAAGTCGACATACCATGGTTAGTGACAAAGTCTCAGCTCCAACCCAAAGTCCACATACCATGGTTAGTGACAAAATCTCAGCTCCAACCCAAAGTCGACATACCATGGTTAGTGACAAAGTCTCAGCTCCAACCCAAAGTCGACATACCATGGTTAGTGACAAAGTCTCAGCTCCAACCCAAAGTCCACATACCATGGTTAATGAAACAAAATCTCAGCTCCAACCCAAAGTCCACATACCATGGTTAATGAAACAAAATCTCAGCTCCAACCCAAAGTCGACATACCATGGTTAGTGACAAAATCTCAGCTCCAACCCAAAGTCCACATACCATGGTTAGTGACAAAGTCTCAGCTCCAACCCAAAGTCGACATACCATGGTTAGTGACAAAGTCTCAGCTCCAACCCAAAGTCGACATACCATGGTTAGTGACAAAGTCTCAGCTCCAACCCAAAGTCGACATACCATGGTTAGTGACAAAGTCTCAGCTCCAACCCAAAGTCGACATACCATGGTTAGTGACAAAGTCTCAGCTCCAACCCAAAGTCCACATACCATGGTTAATGAAACAAAATCTCAGCTCCAACCCAAAGTCGACATACCATGGTTAATGAAACAAAATCTCAGCTCCAACCCAAAGTCGACATACCATGGTTAGTGACAAAGTCTCAGCTCCAACCCAAAGTCCACATACCATGGTTAGTGACAAAGTCTCAGCTCCAACCCAAAGTCGACATACCATGGTTAGTGACAAAGTCTCAGCTCCAACCCAAAGTCGACATACCATGGTTAGTGACAAAGTCTCAGCTCCAACCCAAAGTCCACATACCATGGTTAATGAAACAAAATCTCAGCTCCAACCCAAAGTCGACATACCATGGTTAATGAAACAAAATCTCAGCTCCAACCCAAAGTCGACATACCATGGTTAGTGACAAAGTCTCAACTCCAACCCAAAGTCGACATACCATGGTTAGTGTCAAAGTCTCAGCTCCAACCCAAAGTCCACATACCATGGTTAGTGACAAAGTCTCAGCTCCAACCCAAAGTCCACATACCATGGTTAGTGACAAAGTCTCAGCTCCAACCCAAAGTCCACATACCATGGTTAGTGACAAAGTCTCAGCTCCAACCCAAAGTCCACATACCATGGTTAATGAAACAAAATCTCAGCTCCAACCCAAAGTCGACATACCATGGTTAGTGACAAAATCTCAGCTCCAACCCAAAGTCGACATACCATGGTTAGTGACAAAATCTCAGCTCCAACCCAAAGTCGACATACCATGGTTAGTGACAAAATCTCAGCTCCAACCCAAAGTCCACATACCATGGTTAGTGACAAAGTCTCAGCTCCAACCCAAAGTCGACATACCATGGTTAATGAAACAAAATCTCAGCTCCAACCCAAAGTCGACATACCATGGTTAGTGACAAAATCTCAGCTCCAACCCAAAGTCGACATACCATGGTTAGTGACAAAATCTCAGCTCCAACCCAAAGTCCACATACCATGGTTAGTGACAAAATCTCAGCTCCAACCCAAAGTCCACATACCATGGTTAGTGACAAAGTCTCAGCTCCAACCCAAAGTCCACATACCATGGTTAGTGACAAAGTCTCAGCTCCAACCCAAAGTCCACATACCATGGTTAGTGACAAAGTCTCAGCTCCAACCCAAAGTCCACATACCATGGTTAGTGACAAAATCTCAGCTCCAACCCAAAGTCGACATACCATGGTAAGTGACAAAGTCTCAGCTCCAACCCAAAGTCGACATACCATGGTTAGTGACAAAGTCTCAGCTCCAACCCAAAGTCCACATACCATGGTTAGTGACAAAGTCTCAGCTCCAACCCAAAGTCCACATACCATAGTTAGTGACAAAGTCTCAGCTCCAACCCAAAGTCCACATACCATGGTTAGTGACAAAGTCTCAGCTCCAACCCAAAGTCCACATACCATGGTTAGTGACAAAGTCTCAGCTCCAACCCAAAGTCCACATACCATGGTTAGTGACAAAGTCTCAGCTCCAACCCAAAGTCGACATACCATGGTTAGTGACAAAGTCTCAGCTCCAACCCAAAGTCCACATACCATGGTTAGTGACAAAGTCTCAGCTCCAACCCAAAGTCCACATACCATGGTTAGTGACAAAGTCTCAGCTCCAACCCAAAGTCCACATACCATGGTTAATGAAACAAAATCTCAGCTCCAACCCAAAGTCGACATACCATGGTTAGTGACAAAGTCTCAGCTCCAACCCAAAGTCCACATACCATGGTTAATGAAACAAAATCTCAGCTCCAACCCAAAGTCGACATACCATGGTTAGTGACAAAGTCTCAGCTCCAACCCAAAGTCCACATACCATGGTTAGTGACAAAGTCTCAGCTCCAACCCAAAGTCCACATACCATGGTTAATGAAACAAAATCTCAGCTCCAACCCAAAGTCGACATACCATGGTTAGTGACAAAGTCTCAGCTCCAACCCAAAGTCCACATACCATGGTTAGTGACAAAGTCTCAGCTCCAACCCAAAGTCCACATACCATGGTTAATGAAACAAAATCTCAGCTCCAACCCAAAGTCGATATACCATGGTTAATGAAACAAAAGAAGCATTTACACGGAAACATAGGATTTCTGAAAAAATAAGCTTCTGCTTCATCGATACCAACCACAGTCCAATCCCAGTAATATTATCTTCTTAAATAAGAACCAGATTGAAAACAACGGAACCATTAGTAAAACTAACGAGTATCGAAACAAGTTAAATATACACGCAAGAGATACAGAAACGCAGGGTAAACTTTGAAGATGATTCTAGGCAAGACGTCGAGTATAACTTTCAATATTTTACAGCAATAATGAAGATGAATCCGGCTAGTCAAATGCAGGTATGTCACCCATTTGCTCTCTCCACAGCCCTGATTCTCCTAGGCATGGAGTTCATGAGTGAATTTATCCTCCTCTTTGGGATGTTGGCCCATTCTGCCGAGAGGGCTGCTCTCAGTTGGTTGGGCCAGAGTAACAGAAGGAGGCTGGCGTCGTCGAATCTGTCTATCCAGCTGGTCCCACCAGTGCTAAATAGTGAATAAGTCGGGGCTGTATGGCGGCCAGTCCAGTGAGTGAATATTGTTGTTAGTGAGAAAGTCACGACAGATCCTCGCTACATGGGGCCGAGCATTATCCTGCTGGAATGTGAGGTTGTTTTGCTGCAATGATGGGACAACATGGGGTCGGAGGATCTCATCTCTATACCTAGCTGCAGTTAAATTACCCGCTACCACAACCAGTGGTGATTTAACTTCGTATGAGATTCCTCCCCACACCATAACCGATCCACCCCAAACCTATCCGTCTCTAATACGCAGCAGTCGGCAAAACGTTTTCCACGACGTCGGTATACACGACGTCGACCGTTTGCTTGAGACAGAGTGAGCCGGAAGGAACTCATCAGTAAACAAGACCTGCCTCAATAGAAATAGTTGGGAATAAGACGTTCTATACTGCAAATGTGGACGCCGAAATGTCTGGCAAGCTTTGACCTTGCATAATCATCGCAATGACCTGACCCCTCTTAACTTCCGTAAGCTGTGCCATTGTTTAATGCTATCAGAAATTAATCAAAATATCTGGAAATGATGTGTCTCTATGAAGACTACCTAATGGTATGACGAGTAGTGTAACTCAATTTCACAACACTGCTGTGCACGAGATTTTCGCGTTTCGTGCTTTCCCCGGAAGACATCGTCACGCAATACAATAATGCAACATTAGATAAGGAGCACGTGCTCTGTAACCTAGAGAGTTGCTTGACCAATTTTCATTGTTTTTCAACAACGCGTTCGCAAGATATTGCAAATAATGTCAACCTGCGTTTCTTTAATACTGGAGTATATATTTCTTATCCGTTCAGAAATATATAATAATTCTAGAATAAAATTAGTTGGAAAAGTTTCTGAAGATGACGAATGGAATATTTTTGTGAAGTAAATGTGATCAGTATTTTTAGCCTAGAATCTGTAGATAACTTAGCATTTCCTGTACTAATGTAAATAGTCTGCAGCCTGCTGCTTTTTTAAAGTCACCATGGAATTTATCAAACATCTACACATTCCTTAATTTCGCTTTGAGAACGGTAGTCAGAAAACGGTGGTTATGGAAATAATGTCTTCGTCATACATAACAATCTAGTATGTAATGATTAATCTGGCGTCATTATTTGTGTTACTAGGACAACTAATGTGAATATGCATGACCATGTTGCTCTCTGTTGACTGAACATATTGCATGATCACATGCCCTAACAACCAATCTGACCCCACAGCTACTGTGACGTAGGCAAACGGTAATCACTGATCTGACCTTTTGGGACAATGGTCATATATATATACAAAGGAATCTTGAAGTGTGGGTCTTCACATTAGCTTGGAACAATGTTGTCTCTGGTGCTAGCCTGTATCATTGTAGCCGGTGTAAGCTTAGAAACAAAGGCCGCCTACACTACAGGTAAGTCAGCCTAGAAACAGGGACCGCCCAGACTACAGGTAAGTCAGCCTGGATACCACCTACACCTAACGGTTAGTCAATCTGGACTCCACTTACACTAACGGTAAGTAAACCTGGATACTACCTACACAACAAGTAAGTCAGCCTAGATGTCATCTGCACTGCAGGTAAGTCAGCCCGGGTGCTATCTATACTAACGGTATGTCAGTCTGAAAACCACCTACACCACAAGTTAGTCAGTCTGATGGCACCTGCACCACAGGTTAGTCAGTCTGGTGGCCACCTACACCACAAGTTAGTCAGTCTGGTGGCCACCTACACCACAAGTTAGTCAGTCTGGTGGCCAACTACACCACAAGTTAGTCAGTCTGGTGGCCAACTACACTACAAGTTAATCAGTCTGATGGCCACCTACACTACAAGTTAGTCAGTCTGATGGCCACCTACACTACAAGTTATTCAGTCTGGTGGCCACCTACACTAAAAGTTAGTCAGTCTGATGGCCACCTACACTACAGGTAAGTCGGCCAGGAGCCATCTACACCACTAGTTAGTCAGTCTGGTGGCCACCTACACTACAAGTTAATCAGTCTGGTGGCCACCTACACCACAATTTAGTCAGTCTGGTGGCCACCTACACCACAAGTTAATCAGTCTGGTGGCCCCCTACACTACAAGTTAGTCAGTCTGATGGCCACCTACACTACAAGTTAGTCAGTCTGGTGGCCACCTACACTACAAGTTAGTCAGTCTGGTGGCCACCTACACTAAAAGTTAGTCAGTCTGATGGCCACCTACACTACAGGTAAGTCGGCCAGGAGCCATCTACACCACTAGTTAGTCAGTCTGGTGGCCACCTACACTACAAGTTAATCAGTCTGGTGGCCACCTACACCACAATTTAGTCAGTCTGGTGGCCACCTACACCACAAGTTAATCAGTCTGGTGGCCCCCTACACTACAAGTTAACCAGTCTGGTGGCCACCTACACTACAAGTTAATCAGTCTAATGGCCACCTACACTACAGGTAAGTCAGTCTGGTGGCCATCTACACCACAGGTAAGTCAGTCAGGAGGCCGCCAACAATTACAAGGAGAAGAACATTTTGTAGTTCCGTATTTACAATCTGATACATTGTACACATATAAAAATTGAATTCACAGTACCGATGAAATGCGCTTATGCTTAATTCGATGTGTTTTTAAAGTTATTTTAATAATATATATGTAAACAGAATACGTGTATTTGAACATGTATAACGCAACCTAGTGAATAAGAGCATCCCTGATTCAGAGCATTACAAAGTAGAAACTCTCATACCTGTGATTCTATTGTTCAGTTTTAACCATGTTTTGTACCACTAGTGTATCTTATTGTATCAATAAACAAAGTGTACTGCCTACTGTAATATTATAGTTAAAACGTGTCTATAACCTACTTTACTTTATTTAATGAAAAATGCGTTGGATAGTCATCATTTACCCTTTGTTATCTGATGAAAGTACAAACTGCACAATCAGTTTATCTTTCTTAATATAGTCAACACTATATAAAGGATATTTACGGACTCCTTGGTCAGCCTGTTAAACAGTACACGTCTTATCAGCATGGGATCGATTCAATATGTTCTCCGTCATTTAATACAGCATTCTGTTTGTCTTCACACTGAACTGTGAAGCATTGTTTTTTTCGTCTGTGACAATTTGTTTTATAATTGATTGTCAACATTTTTAGAAAAATGTTACACGATCTTTAATTGGCTGTACTATTAGAGTTATGATATACAATTTTTTATTGGTTGCACAAGTAGAGCTATGTTATACAATTTTTTATTTGCTGCAGTAGTAGAGCTATGTTATACAATTTTTTATTTGCTGTAGTAGTAGAGCTATGTTATACAATGTTTTATTGGCTGTAGTAGTAGAGCTATGTTATACAATGTTTTATTGGTTGCACTAGTAGAGCTATGTTATACAATGTTTTATTGGTTGCACTAGTAGAGCTATGTTATACAATTTTTTATTGGTTGCACTAGTAGAGCTATGTTATACAATTTTTTATTGGTTGCACTAGTAGAGCTATGTTATACAATTTTTTATTGGCTGTAGTAGTAGAGCTATGTTATACAATTTTTTATTGGTTGCACTAGTAGAGCTATGTTATACAATTTTTTATTGGTTGCACTAGTAGAGCTATGTTATACAATTTTTATTGGTTGCACTAGTAGAGCTATATACTTATTTTTGAGAAAGAAATAACCTGTGTAAAGCATTGTTTCCGTTTAAAGGCATTAATTCATATTTACTTAAATTATGCTCATATCTTTTCCCCATTATCTTCATCTTCGAAACCAGGTTCAATAGGCAATAATAAATCTGAAAGATGTAAACATGTTTTTGTATACTGGTAGTATATGTGATACTATGCGACTTACATCTAAACCACACACCATCTACTGAGACAGCTGGTGCTACATCACTTAATCCAGTGCTAATATTGTTAGAATTACATCGGTACTTTTGGAAGATAACATCAATTTAATCTGAGAGAAAAGATTTTCGGACTTTTTAATTTGATTTCTTCTTTAACATTTTCATTTTGATAGTTTCAAATACCTTTCTTTTATTTCACAGCGTTAGGTAGACTTCCTTAACAACTTTGTTTTTGTATGGTACTATAACATTTTCCTGCATTTCTAGTATCTTCCACGAGCCGGATGTAACTATCAACGAGATCAGAATATCTTTATACAGTATATAATTTTGAAATAATACATATTTCTGGTATGAAACTAAGCATTATATATGTTTATAGAATGTGGGCTTCTTCCCGCTGACTTCATTTTCCTGTTGGATTCTTCCGGAAGTGAGACAGCAGTTAACTTCCAGAAACAAGTTGAGTTCCTAAAGAACTTCACTTCTCGCTTCACTATTGGCCCAAACAACACTCAGTTTTCTTCTGTCACCTTCTCAACTGGAGTACGGAATGACTTCGATCTTAATGAAAATCAGAACCAACAGGAGCTACAGAGTGCCATCAACAAGATTAGTTACATGAATGGAGAGACTGAAACACATCTCGCTCTTAATTTCGCCAAAACACATAGTATTGCAGGTGAGTGGCCTTAGAAGGATGTGCATCCCTTCCTATAGACTTTTATTAGGTACTTCGCGTTGTTCAGAGTAAATGAAATGTTAAGATATGATGAGACAATGGGCAATGACGTTAACCTCGATATTAGTCAACAGATTTGGCTGTCAATAACGTAATAACAACTCAGCACACCTCTTCGTATTGTTTAATCAGTTTTGAATAAGTCATCTCCATGTGATATCTAGATTGAAACTTACACAAATGTTAGATTTTACATTGACATATTACTCTTTGAATTTCTACGTATGTCTTTGATTATTTGAGCACTTAAAACAGGAATTTCTATGCATTACCATTAAAACACGGATGAAGTATTGATGTCAGACACAATCGGTTTTTACTTGTGATTTGCTAATTTATAATGTTTAAGCTTCTGTTCTCCCTATATACCTGATCAGTTTAATAGATTATGTATCATACTAAGGCTCCAAGTGCTGCGCATATATCACAATCCCGATAATATGATGATATCTTCTGCTCACCTATATCCTTTCGACGATCGGATGATTCAGTTTTAAAAAAAGGGATCCGAGGCAGAAAACAGAAAGTTACAATGTCGCTCAGAATAAAAGTATTGATATTTTCATTTGAAACAATGCGAATATCATTCTTTTTAGCCTTGGAAGATGCACTGGGAAGCAGTGTTTGTAGCATGCGCATTAGACTTTTATTTCGGAAATAAACAATTATTACACTCTCTCTCTCTCTCTCTCTCTCTCTCTCTCTCTCTCTCTCTCTCTCTCTCTCTCTCTCTCTCTCTCTCTCTCTCTCTCTCTCTCACACATAGTTGTCTAGGTCTATAAGTGGTTATACCATCGCAATTTAGCTCATTACGCGTTTTTCGTTCAAACGTCAGATGAAATTTCTACACTGTTGTCTTCTGAATTGTGTTAGTTTTATATAGTACTGTAGGTGATGCTTTGATGTCCAAAATTTACATGTTATGTTTTCACAAGAAAAAAGAATCAATCGGTGATCTGTTTTGAATGTTTTTAGTACAATACGGTGGGAGACCCGGGGTCCAGAAGTACATAGTAGTAATGACGGACGGTAAATCGAACGAGCCTAATTTGACAGTGAACTACGCAAACGTACTCAAACAACAGCCTAACGTGACGATCATAGCTCTTGGGATAGGCAGTGCCGTCGATACCTCCGAACTACAGGCCATAGCCACGGACAGCAAACACGTGTTCACCGTCAGTAACTTTGACCTTCTCAACGTTCTGGAAAAAGAACTGACAGACACCACATGTACAGGTATTTATAGATGAGGGAATGAAATGGACTCGTGACATATCCAACAACAAAAATGAAAGTTCTGCTTATCAGTAGTTTTAATTCAAACTCCAATTCGGTGAAACAAGAGTCAAATACGAACAAAATAAATATTTTCACGGAAATCTTTAAAAATTATACAAGGAGAATAAGGCCAGGTGTTCCGGAAGAGTAAACGTCTTCTGCTTCAATCACTATGTAAAATTTGGTCCGTCCAAGAAAGTAATGTCAAATTCCTAAAAGAGAAGAAAACACCGGAACCACCAGGCATACTAATGATCATCAAACACGTCATACTTCACAAGTAAAAAAGAAAATGTTTAACAACTATGATCTTTCCCACAAATTTCATCAGTTGGCATCTCTTAAAAATCTCTGAATTTACCTGTCAGCTGTAGATAACCGTGATATTTGGAACACATTCTCCAGTATGGAATCAACTGTGGCATGTAAACACCATATGTTGGGGAAGCAACGATTTATTGCTATTAAGAAATGGAAAATTCACAATAGGGAGATCAAAACACACATTTACCATACCTGTTGGTTACCGTCGGGAACTTCTTAAATGAAACCGAATATATCGGACTATGTAACAAATGTAAGAAGGGCGCGATAATGAAATTTATTAATTGGCAAATTAATGAAAATTGATATTCTTCCTTGATATTTTAGGATAATTGATATTTTTAACAAGCGAAATGACTAGTAGTTAGCTTGAGTTGAAAATCTGACATACACCAGATCTCGTGGAATTTCATATTCGTCAACAATTTTGTTTCACTATCCAATCTGTCCCCAAAACCTGTAATATCTAGAGTAAATGTAGCGTTTGTTTTCATTACAAGTGTGTGGCGATGAGCCTGCTGACCTCGTGTTTCTATTGGATTCCTCTGGTAGCGAAGGTTCTCGCAATTTTCAGCTGCAGCGTCAGTTCGTGTCCCTGGTGGTGAATGAATTTGATATATCTGCGACAGGCACACAAGTAGGTCTAGGGACCTTCGCTACAACTGCCAGAACCCAAATTAGCCTTCAGCAGTACCCGGATAAAGCATCTCTCTTGCGAGCGATTGCACATGTCTCTTACTCGGATGGCGAGACAAGAACCGACCTTGGCTTACAGTTAGTTCAAAATGACATTTTCAGAAGTCATGGACACCACCATGTAGGCCCTAGAGCTGGTGCAAAGAGATTCGTTGTTGTTTTAACAGACGGCAGATCCAATGAGGAGCAACTTACAGTGCGCGCAGCGGAATCACTCAAGCAACATGTTGATGAAGTTTTCGCGATTGGGATCGGGAACGCCGTAGACAAACACGAATTAAATTCGATAGCAACCAATGATGGACAGCATGTTTTTAACGTAAAACATTTCAACAACCTTGACAGTATCCATGGCAACATTGTTAAGGAAATTTGCGAACGTAAGTTGTATGTTACTGCTGAGTAAATATCATGTACCTTGTACTTCTACTCATAACAATTCTTTTGTAAGGTTCGACTCCTTCTTAGTTTCTATAGGAGTTCTTATAACACAATCAGTAGTAGAAATGAGTGTGATGTTCTGAAGACTATACCGTTACCTTTACCAGACAAATGACCAATGACGCACGTAGAATTCAAGATGTTGAAGAAATGACCAAGCTGTCCTATAATCCTATATACACTAAGTTCGAAAATAGTGTGACGAGATGAAGAGCAGATTATAGATAAAAAAAAGTACACTAGATGGTAACGATTTAATGTCAACTCGTCTCCGCTTTGTTTTAGTCATGATCATAACATGTTGTCATCTTGAATACCCGATTACTGTTTATACACACAGTTAACATGTCTAAAATGTGATGATACCCATTTGGTAGACTTTAAGATTAAGACGTGTTAATACAAAAAACCCAAACAACACTGAAAACGGTAATTTCTTTTATCTTGTGTTCAAATTAGCTTAAATTAGATACAGTTGTTAATATTATGGACTGTTTGCGTCTTTAGTGTGAGGATTGAAAGCTTGAGGCCAAAAGTTCGAACAACAACACTTTTAGAAATGCGCCTGATGTCTTTGTCTGCTATAAACTATTTTCATTTAGAGAAAACTTGTATTTAACTCGGCCTTTTATGTATCTAACAGATCGAATTCCACCCCCGACCACAACTCGTAAGTATGCAAGTTTATCCGTCATGATACGGAATTTGCTTATTTTCCATATGTAACATAATTAGCGCAGTAATTAACAGGTTTTTAAAGACAGAACATGGTTATCGAGAACAATCCTTGGAATGAAATTATTATCCAAGAATGTTGAATGCGATGCTGACGTAGACAGATTCTATTTTGAGAGAAGCATTTGGTCAGTTATACATGTCCTCTTGTCTTTCTGACAGCTATTCCCACTACTGTTACTACAACACCTACTACAACCACCACAGTTAAACCAGGTACTACATTAATTATAGTTCATTTAAACATTGTTTGTGATTTTTCTTCTGTTGCTTTCTTAACAATAGGACTAACAATCAGCTAGGTTTGACCGAAAAAAAAAAATTTATAATCCCTACAAAACAGTGTTTTATCATGATGGACAGAAAGGGAAAAAATAATAAAAACTAAACAAGACCTTAAAGCAAAATGAAAAATACTCATAAGATTTGATGTAATTGTTATTGATGCTATATTTTAATATCATATTATTTTTTTCAGAATGTGGTCCAAAACCAGCTGACATCGTTTTCGTTCTCGATTCTTCAGAGAGTGAAAAACAGGAGAATTTTACGAAGCAAATAAATTTTGTATACAACTTTGCCAAACGATTTGAAATAGGTCCAGATAATGTCCAATTCAGTACTGTGACCTTTTCATCTGAAATCAGGAACGACTTTTACCTCAACACCTACCATCGCCGAAATAACGTTCTTCATGCTATCCAAAACCTAAAATACATGGGTGCCGGAACCAACACGTCCCTTGCTTTAAAATTCGTACGAGAGAACAGTTTCCTTCCGGCAAATGGTGGACGGGAAAACGCTTCCCACATTGTTATTGTAATCACCGACGGACAGTCCGCTGATCCAACAAGCACCGCAAAGGAGGCTAACTCTCTCAAACACTCAGTGAACAAAGTATTTGCTATCGGTATCGGTGATCAGCTAGATACTGCCGAACTCTCAACCATAGCATCTAACCACCATCCCCTGACTGTCACCAACTTCGATCTCTTACACACAATTCAAGAAAGTCTTGAAAATGCTGCATGTGAGACACAAAGAAATAATAAAATTTAATACAATGTTTACGACAAAAGTTTTACCTCATCAATGGCGTTTGAAATGTCAGACAAACAAACAAATTTCAAACCTTTTAGCAATAATCTTTCAGCAATTGTTAGGTCAATAAATGAATGAAAATGTGTGCTTTGATATAAAAACTGATTTTGTGTGCAAATTGCATATCCAAGCAGCGTTACTCAATGAGCACTATAAATATTAATGTTTTCGCGGGCGTTTAGGTGATGATGGTGGATTCTTGATGATTAGAACATGTTTCTAAGACGCTTCGCCCCATCCTCAGAACCACGACAGGTACATCATAATCATGATATCCTCAATTTATCTAGACAATTCTAATTCTATGTGAATGTACTCATTTTGTCATTCTTTTCTTCTTACAATAACTTGTTGAAAGGCAGTAAGTGAGTAGATTGATTGAACAGACATCTTCCGTTAGCTTATGTATTACAAAATTTAAATCAGTTTAAATATAATTGTCTGAGAAGGTGATTTTTGTCTACATAGTAAAATAACGAGTTCTCCAACCATACAAACTAGAAAATACTTTACTAATTAAATTATTTCTCTGGTTGACCGAAAAAAGAGAAGAAGACAAAGTTCGACATTACTTAGCATACTTTGTTTTTCTGCCGCCATCTTTGGTTCCTGAATGTCGGGATATTTTTGTGGAAATTCTCAAAATTTACAATCTTTGCGATTTCGTCTTGTCAGTAATCTGATACGCCTTTTTGTGAAGATTTCCAACTATTCAAGAAGAATTGACATAGCTTACATGTATACCTGTGTGGGTTCTAGCATCAATTGATATCTTACTTACCTGTCTTACTAGATAACAGATTTACATACCGAATAGTATCGATCTATTTTAGAAGTAAGTCGTGTAGGTACGTCAGCTCTATAGATGTGTTATTCATGCGTTTACAATCAAAAGAAGAAAACATGCATTTTTGCGATTTTGAAAGGTTCGCTAAATTTGAAAAATAGATACGCACAAAATTTTCAATATACGGTATATTTTATCATCAAATATGATACCAAAATGTATCATCGAAACATTGTAAAAGACATACAAGTGAATATCATCATTAAATACAAGTTAGATACAGTAGAACCAAACAATGAATTCAACTGCACCATGAAGCTGTTTCATCCTTAGAGGGCTAGTTGGTGATGTTGAAGGCCTAAATTTGGAGACCTAGGAGACTAAAATCAATACTAATAGAAGAAAATGTCAGTATCCAGACGAGGGGGTGCACTAGCTCCATAACTCAAGAAAATTCTTTATTTCCATATGTCCAGTAATTTTCAAGTGTTTCAAGTACATTTGTACATTTGTGTATACTCTGAACTATGTAATTAATTCAAACGTGACATGCAGGTTGCGGCAAACCTCGAGGACTAAATGTCCACCTGCAGTGTCTACCACCTGCAATCTCGAAGACTGTACAAAAGACACAAAAGCGATAAGCATCTTTGTCGAACTATATCATCTTTGCCACAAACAACTGAATATCGAACTATGTCATTTTATGACGGCACAAATGCAATTAATAGATTATATATCAATATAACAAAATGAGTGCATGCCTGAGTAGGTATAATGATTGGGGAAGGTTTCGTTTCAATTTATCACAACATCTACTGCACACATATTCTGATGTGTGCAAGCAAAATAGCATCAAACCGAGCTATGGAACAGGGAAGAGGATGAAATGGTAAGAGATAAACCTAGGTTATCAAGAGGATATTGTACGTGTTATTATACACATATGTGTAAACAAAATCGTATTTAAAGAGTGAAAAAAGCAAATTTAGGGGAAACTGTACGACCATGAAATGGCACAAAAGCATAGTTCATGCTCTGAATTATGTCCTTTTTTCTTGTCATTTTTATTATAGAATTTATCTGTATATCGAAAATATTTGATATGTATCTTCATTAATAGTCACCATACTAACAAAACTAATGAACAATTGTTTCGTAGCACGTTATTTTTTTTCTTCAGAGATAAAAAAAGGTTCAAAATTATTTTATAATCTTTTAAATAAATCAGAATTGATTCCAACAGGCACCAAAAAATGGAACTCACTGTTAGACGATATTGACCACTCATCATGGACTAGGTATCATAGAATCCCATTCCAGGTGACAGTGCAAAACTTCAATGGTTTCAGTACAGAGTAACCCATTACATCTTGGTAACCAATTCTTTACTTTTCAAACTAGGACTAGTTATCTCCCCTCTCTGTGTTTTCTGTAATACTGAAACGGAGACAATTACCCATGTTCTATGGGAGTGCCAGGAAGTTCAAAACTTACTTCAGTGTTTTAAAACATTATTAGAAGCTTTATTAATCCCTTTCTCGGTAAACAAAGAATCGTTTATTTTTGGCTTTCTCTTTCAGAACTCTTTTCCCAGTAATCGTGTTGACAATGAAATTGTCATAATCATAAAACAGTACATTTATAGAATGAGATGCTTTCACAACTCTCTAAATATAAATGTTCTTATAAATAAAATTAAAGAAAACTATTCAATCCAGATATATATTGTAAAAGGTAAAGAGGACAAAGAAAAACAAAAATTTGAAAACGAATGGAAAAAATGGGAGAAATTACTTAACCTGTAGTCTTTCAAATTCCACAATTCAGTTTTAAATTTTTACTACTCATTATCTCTTGATGCCCCTGTCTTAGCCGAATATTTTAGAAGCACATATAAGTAGTTTCAAATAAGTAGTTTTTGCAATTGTACAACAAAAATATCATCATTTCTTGTCTTCAACATTCTACCTTCAGACCCCCCCCCCTTTCTCTCTCTCTGTCTCTGTCTCTGTCTCTCTCTCTCCCCTAATGTGTGTGTGTGTGCATGCGTGGTTTATGGTGAGTGTGTGTGTGGGTGTATGTGTACATAATCAAAATATAATATTGACAGTGTATATATGATGATGATGAGGATGACAATAATCAATGTTTGATGATGATGATGATGATGATGATGATGATGATGATGATGATGATGATGATGATGATGATGATGATCATTGATCTATGATGATGATTGATCAAGCAGATGACGATGAAGTGACAATGATGATAATGTGATGATGATTGATGATGATGTGATGATATTGATGACGATGAAGATGATGCTGATGATGATGATGATGATCATGATTTTGACATCACCGGGTTTCACGATGATGATGAATGGTATTGATCTATGTGATTGTGTGGGTATATGCCATTGTGTGTTTTTTGTAATGTCATTCATGTTGAAAAATGTGCAAAAAAAAAAAAAATAAAAATTTTAAAAAATAAAAACAAAAAAGAAACTGAGCAGTGACCGACTACTAGTTCCCCTTGTTTCAATGTGACTTCGTCGATCTATGGCGTCGTCTGCATTGACATGTCAACAATAAAGAGATTTGTAATGCGATTATCAATCAATAATACACTTCTAACAGCTATATATTCTCGCAGATATGCTACCACTATAAAACATTTATTAATAGGTATTCCGTTTACCATTGAAAAAATTAACTTTGGTTGGTGTCCACAATGGCAGTTTGAACATTTATTAAGATTAGCGCTATGGACTTCTCTTCACACTTAGAGTTAAGTTTACAATTAGAAAAAATAGGGAAAACTTCTCTTAACATGAAAACATTCACACGAACAAGCATTAACCGTGCCTTTTTTATATTGTAGATAAATTTAGAACTACTAAACAAGAAACATACCTGAATGTTCCCTGTCATCTACTTATCAGTCAAGAACGGCACGTTTGTAGCAAAGGTGAACAGATATAACACGCCTGCGTCCTCGCCAATCTGCCAGTGTTCCTTGGGCCTGCCCACAAGTTCCACCATGTTCTTCCTCGTCCTTGTCGTCGCTCTTTGCGCTCAGCTCCAGTCGGTTTACTCCGCAGCTTCTATAGGTAAAGACCATAATTATTATTTATCTTATGACTACCTTGGTACGGATACATAAATGTGACCGCATGTAATTACATTCATTGTGACTGCAGAACTCAATTCATAGGGTATTCTATCATGTCACTATCATGCTATATCGAAGTACGACGTCCATGATCAAATAATTGAAAGTGAAAACAGGTTTTTTCGTAAATGTACCCACGTGTTCTTGAAAAATGTGGTAAAAAATGTGTTATGAAATATTTTTCGTTTATAGCATATGCTCCAAATTGTCATTTGTTATCTTCAATTCGCAAGAACTGGAAAGAAAACTTAACAAAAAATCGGTTATAAATTATCATGGAGCGGGATTTTTCGCACGTATTTCTTTTTATTTTAAAAATTACATGTTTTATTTTCTTCTTATTGTAAACGCCCTATTGATAATAATGACAGGCTACTTGGTGTCTTAATCTCTTATCTTGTATGACTGGTAAGTTAAATCTCAAGTTTATGTTAGAATCTGTACTGATACATATGTAAGCTACACCCATTTGAATTTATTCAAGATCTTCAAAAAACGTCTTTTTCATTTTGACGAAATCGCAAATATGAAACACGAAAAAATTGCAGAAGGTAAATTTTAGGGATTTTCAGAAGAAATTCAATAGCGCAAACATATCCAGATATACGCTATTGAATACAATGTAAGGATCTTTTAACGTCATTGTTATATTCCAGTGGTTTCTAAATAAGCCTTAATTTCATGCATAACCGCACGAGTGGATTGTGTAAAAAAAACATTTCAGTTTGCTTGCTCGTTATCTGTTTAAAAATGAAGAGCTACCTCTCTCGCACAATATTTATTATAATTCGAAATCTATTTTCTTTTTAAAAATATTTATCTGTGATATAATGTATTAATTTAATTCAATTACTTTACTGATTGATTTCGTTTCATGATTTATCCCCCTGAACGTTATAGCCACTTTTTCTTGACTTATGAATGATCCAACAGAAAACAGCAGACAAAGTCCATAGTCACCATGATAAATCATTTGGTTTGACACTTCACCATTTTTCAGTCATGTAATCCTTTAACGCATCGTCGAACTCTTTTTAGAAAGTGGGGCTTTCCTTTGAAATTTTGGTATTGTTTTCCAAAAAGAACTCCACGAAATGGAAAGTATTTTTCCTGTCGAAGAATTATATTATCAATATGTCGATTTGAGCAAAAATAACTTACATTCCTTTTGTTTGCTGCAGTTATGCTGTCATTTTGGTTAAAGACGTTGTAATTAAGAATGGTTTTTAATGACTGCAATGATACAAGTCAGCCATTAAAGATGCGGGATTCTGGCATTATTATAAGGTTGACAGCATACCATGTAAAACTACGTAGAAAATGCTCAGAAGGCAACAGCGCGAAAGTGATACATTTGTTGGTGAAATATAGTTTAACGTCTTCTTGAAAGTTATGATTGTAGGAAGACAGGGTCCAAGGATATAAACAAATCAAATCGAGTTTTAGAGTATTATCATTTCATAACTGGGACAAAGTAGCAGGAATTGCAGAATAAACGTGACGGTACTGTGTTTTATATGGCTACATAAATGAACTTCTTTATCGCATAGAATGTGGACTCCTCCCCGCCGACTTCATTTTCCTGTTGGATTCCTCCGGAAGTGAAACATCTGTTAACTTCAAGAAACAAGTAGATTTTCTGAGTAACTTTAGTTCACAGTTTACTATTGGCCCAAAAAACACTCAGTTTGCCTCCATCACCTTCTCAACCGGTGTACGCGGCGACTTCGACTTGGACGAAAATGGGAACCAACAAGACCTACAAAATGCCATCAAACATATACATTATGTCAATGGAGAAACTGCAACACATCTGGCTCTTAACTACGCTAAGTCACATACCATAGCAGGTAAAGAGGAGTCTTAAACTTAATAATGTAGTCTGTGTATTTTTTACCGTTGTAGTACATGTATGTCACATATCTAGTTCGTGTAAATATCGGTGTTCCTATTTTGTGTACATTGTCTTTGTTTTTGATTTCTCACATCTGAACATTATAGAAATACAGAACTCACACAATCCAAAAAGGGTGATTTTTAACAACATATTCATATAATTGACCTGGTGTAATATACCCTAATGTTTACGAAAACCTGAATGACTTCCACGAAAATGCGCTTTATTTTCTAGTCGTCGAATGCAGAATGTTTCCAAAAGTTTGACGACCTAGGACTCTGAGAAATGGCATTTAAAGTTTTGCTTTCAGTTTTTTTAATTTTTTTTAAAATATCAAACATAGTTTGTGAATACATGTTTAAAATTGAATTTCAAATTTGTTTTTTAGAAACCTTGAAACATATACTATATATATAATATTTTTATATGGTTTAATATGGATTCATTCTCACTAATATATATATATATATATGTGTGTGTGTGTGTGTGTGTGTGTGTGTGTGTGTGTGTGTGTGTGTGAATTATGAGAACTTCCGATTAAAATATTATTTGAACTTTCCAAATTACCAAAACAATGACTGTAACATGCCAATTGTGCTATTCAGTAACTGACTGAATTATCTTTGTCACTTTCAGGGTAACCCACTTTTAGTTACTAGAAAACAGAATGGAAAATTAAGCATTCTAAACAAATTTTACGAATCAGTTGTGGTGAAACATGCTATTATTATTGTTTAACTTGTAGAACAGAATGGGGGCCGTCCTGGTGTGCAGAAGTACGTTGTGGTAATGACCGACGGGCGGTCTAACGAGCCACAATTGACAGTGAACTATGCCAACGCCCTCAAGCACCAGCCTAACGTGACGATCATAGCTCTTGGGATAGGCAGTGCCGTCGATAACTCCGAACTACAGGCCATAGCTACGGACAGCAAACACGTGTTCACCGTCAGTAACTTTGACCTCCTTCACGTTCTAGAAAAGGAACTGGTAGACACAACATGCACATGTATGTAGCATTCCTTGATGAGCTACTTTCAACTATTTAAAGATAAATCTAGGGAATCATCTATCATATAATGTCCATTTTGAGCCTTTGTCCATCAATTTTAAAAGAAACATTATTGACATCTTCCCGCAATTTGTTTCATCTAAACTGGATAATATTCTGGAAGATATTCTTAAACAATCAATTAAAACACATTCACAAAGAGCTCGAAGGAAAATAGTTAAGCATCGCAGCTGTAAATATATCTACAAACACTAGACTAAATTAGACATGATATATATCTATGCCATTGACAACGTCCTTAATTCGTTTTAGATGAACCTCTACATATCATTACTTTTTCAGTGTGTGGAGACCAGCCGGCAGATATCGTGTTCCTTCTTGATTCTTCTGGAAGTGAAGGAAACTCTAATTTCCAGTTACAAAAGCAATTTGTATCTTCGGTAATTAATGATTTTGAAATTTCCCGAACCGACACACAGGTCGGATTAGTAACATTCTCTACATCAGCAACGGCTGAGATCCACTTGCAACAGTACAATACTAAGCCATCCCTCATTCATGCTGTGCAACAAGTTACCTACAAAAATGGAGAAACACGGACGGACATAGGACTCACCACTGTTGAGAGAAACATCTTCCATACTCATCACAATCAGGGACCACGTCATGGAGCCAAACGTTTTGTGATTGTCCTAACTGACGGTCGGTCTAATGAAGAAGACTTAACAGCAAGGGCAGCCCATTCTCTCAAACGACACGTTGACGAAGTTTTCGCTATAGGAATCGGACATGCTGTGGACAGGGACGAGCTCAACAATATAGCAACAGATGACCACCATCACGTGTTCACCGCCGGCAATTTCCATGATTTACTTAACCTCCAAGGAAACATCGTCAAAGAGATTTGTGAACGTAAGTGGAATTAGAAAATCTGATATGGCAGTGAAATAAATCCATCTGGATGTTAGGTTAACTGTGGTGGTCATCGTTTTTTCGACTGAACTGAACAAATTACAAATTTAAGTTTCTTTTCAATACTATATGATATAATACTATTTCCCACTGACTTTTGAAAAAGCTTACTTACATAACTAACAGAGGAAATTTTATCCGAGCAAAACTTGTCAGTTTGACAAGATAACATGTAAATCAGGCAGCTATATTTAGCCTTTGAATCCCATAATTCTTTGCGCATAACACATTCAAGGAGGAAAACAACAATGGTGGAAAACGAGTATGCGAAAGAAAACTACGACTGAATCTGTCACAAACAGAAAACTATATTGGAATGGAGATACCGACCAATTCCGCATGATATAATAATACGTTATATGTTCTCTGCTGATTTATATCTATAAGAATAACCGTCTAGCTGACCTGGTTGTAAACTGAGTCTCCCACATCTTTGTACATTCTTCTTTTGTTGATGCAGCTCTTATTCGGCATACATCGTGAAGCTTCTAAATGAAGCTTGGGGTCGTACAATTATTAGTAAATAATTATCATGGTCAAATAGACATTATATCGTCCAATACGGATTAGACAACAGGAAAAGACATCTGAGAGAAATGCCTATCTGTGTTGGAAAGTTTACATTTCATTAGGTGCGCAACCTCCTACAATACTTTATATAACTTTCCTAAACGAGGGTAAGGTTATTTTATTGCGCTTTTTGCGCATTTAAAGGACGAGTCGTCGTTTTATCGTGTTAGGTTTCACAGAAAATATTCAGAGAATTACGTTGTATAAAGAGGGGTTGAACTCCATTTCCTTACACTATAAATCCGTAACATAAAAGAAGTTTATAATGATTTACCACAATTTTGGTATCACAGAAAAATATTTTAAAATGATACTTAAACTCACCAAATCTTCTTGTCCTGTTCCAGATCGTGTCGTTCCTCCAACTACAACTGGTAAGACGATTTGATAATGTTATGGTGCTTCATCCCAGATAGCAACATCAAAAGAATATTGTTATGGGATATGGACAGTAGTAATTGTGTTATCACCCGAGACAGCCAGTTAGCAGATCTATACAGGTTGTAATGAGACGGATAGTAGTAATTTTGTTATCACCCGAGACAGCCAGTTAGCAGATCTATACAGGTTGTAATGAGACGGATAGTAGTAATTGTGTTATCACCCGAGACAGCCAGTTAGCAGATCTATACAGGTTGTAATGAGACGGATAGTAGTAATTGTGTTATCACCCGAGACAGCCAGTTAGCAGATCTATACAGGTTGTAATGAGACGGATAGTAGTAATTGTGTTATCACCCGAGACAGCCAGTTAGCAGATCTATACAGGTTGTAATGAGACGGATAGTAGTAATTGTGTTATCACCCGAGACAGCCAGTTAGCAGATCTATACAGGTTGTAATGAGACGGATAGTAGTAATTGTGTTATCACCCGAGACAGCCAGTTAGCAGATCTATACAGGTTGTAATGAGACGGATAGTAGTAATTGTGGTATCACTCGAGACAGCCAGTTAGCAGATCTATACAGGTTGTAATGAGACGGATAGTAGTAATTGTGTTATCACCCGAGACAGCCAGTTAGCAGATCTATACAGGTTGTAATGAGACGGATAGTAGTAATTGTGTTATCACCCGAGACAGTCAGTTAGCAGATCTATACAGGTTGTAATGAGACGGATAGTAGTAATTGTGTTATCACCCAAGACAGCCAGTTAGCAGATCTATACAGGTTGTAATGAGACGGATAGTAGTAATTGTGGTATCACTCGAGCCAGTTAGCAGATCTATACAGGTTGTAATGAGACGGATAGTAGTAATTGTGGTATCACTCGAGCCAGTTAGCAGATCTATACAGGTTGTAATGAGACGGATAGTAGTAATTGTGGTATCACTCGAGACAGCCAGTTAGCAGATCTATACAGGTTGTAATAATACGGATAGTAGTAATTGTGTTATCACCCGAGACAGTCAGTTAGCAGATCTATACAGGTTGTAATAATACGGATAGTAGTAATTGTGTTATCACCCGAGACAGCCAGTTAGCAGTTCTACACAGATAATTATTACTTATTTTAGTACCACACTTCTCGCCAACTTGTGAAAATTGTGATATCAAAACTACAAACAGGACAACCAGAGCAAAAAAAAAAAAAAACCATGATATTGTTTTATTTTTTGGTTGTATTTGTATTTAAATAGTGTTATCTAAATATTCAGGTATGACATAATCTATCAATTTAAACTATCCTAATTCTTTGCTTAGCTACGCAATATATCTGATAATGTAATGTTTTCTCTTACAGCTCGCCCGACTACAAAACCCACTACAAAACCCACTACAGTCACAACAACTCCAACTACCACAACAACGGTCAAGCCAGGTAAAATAGTTTGATGTTAGTGTAAACCATCAACACAGGTAGATTTGGACACTGGCAGAACCAGACCGTCAAAATAGTTCAAATTTGGTAGTGTCAAAATTGTAGATTGACAACACAGCAAGCATTGGGCAATGTCAGATTTCAAGGCCGTCAAAACAGGCAACAATGAGGGATTTCTATATTGTAGAACTTCAAATCATAACATGGGTCGGTGTTAGAATTGCAGACTATAAAAACAGTCACTTTGGACAAGAGTAGTTTGAGGTATCATTTCATGCCGATTTATAGGTAGATATCTTAGCAAAATTTGACAGTTTATTGGGGCTTCCTATTCTTCAACCTTAGACAGGTAAATATCCATGCTTTTTTTCGGTGTGATATTTCCTTGTTGCACCATAGGGTTGAGAAAAGCTACGCGTGCTCTTTGCATGATTTGAGTGATGTCACTGTCGTGATCCGGAAGTTAAACTACTTTCATAAGGTCACCCACATACACTAGTTCGTCACCTACTCAAATTTTGTTATCCTAAAAACTGAAATATATATTAAAGATATTAAGAATATTAAGAATATAATTTTATTTGATCTTTTATTATGTACACTAGAAATATATATTGTGTTAGACTGAATCACAATGAGTGAAGCGTCCGAGGCGCGGGCCTCGTCACTCTTCTTTCCCCATCCACGTTTTTTTTTTTTTTTTTTTGTTTACACAAAATACACTTCGTCTTCCACTAGAACAAGGAAATCAGGGTATGAGAAAAATAATCTTTCACTCCCTTTAGGGTCAAGTAGAAGGATATCTACTCTCTATCATTTATCAATCCTCCTTTTGACAACTTAATGTCATTCCACCTTGGGTGAAAGATTCGATTTGCTTGATGAAGATAACTAGACTAGATTGAGTCATATATGGACTATGCTAGATTTGATTATGCTAGAGACAGTAATACGGCATGTTGAAAAGATTAGTGTTTCTGAAACGGGTAACATATTGGAAGGAACTGTTTTATTTTATTTTTTTCTTAAATAGAATGTGGAGACAAACCAGCCGACATCGTTTTTGTGCTGGATTCCTCTGAAAGTGAAAAACAGGAGAATTTTACGAAGCAAATAAATTTTGTATACAACTTCGCCAAACGATTTGAAATAGGTCCAGATAATGTCCAATTCAGTACTGTGACCTTTTCATCTGAAATCAGGAACGACTTTTACCTCAACACCTACCATCGCCGAAATGACGTTCTTCATGCTATCCAAAACCTAAAATATATGGGAGCCGGAACCAACACATCTCTGGCTTTAAAATTCGTACGAGAGAACAGTTTCCTTCCGGCAAATGGTGGACGGAAAAACGCTTCCCACATTGTTATTGTAATCACCGACGGACAGTCCGCTGATCCAACAAGCACCGCAAAGGAGGCTAACTCTCTCAAACACTCAGTGAACAATGTATTTGCTATCGGTATCGGTGATAAGTTAGATACTACCGAACTTTCAACCATAGCATCTAACCACCATCCCCTGACTGTCACCAACTTCGATCTCTTACACACAATACAAGGAAGCCTTGAAAATGCTGCATGCAATGACTAGAATCCAAAACACGCAATAAAGCATTATCTAATCATCTGTCGAAAAAGTACTTTTTATATAATAATCAATTAACGAAATGATATAAAATCAGAATGAAGACATAGTTAATAGTTGTAGTGTCAGTATTTTATCTGCCTCTGGTTAAGGCTGTGTCGCATCAAAATCCCTCGTATATCAATCACAATTGAGGATTCGAACCAGATTAGATTAAATCAATTTCGCATCTACATACGGCTATATATGATCTGAATTACACGTGAAAATTATTCAAATTGATCATCATTTAAATTGGATATTTCAGAATACAAATATTATCATTATTGAAACTCTTTCTAAGGTAAACAGAGTCACTTACATGCCGACGAACTGCGACAAGAATTTCAGATATTATTTAACTTACTTACTTAACATATCAAGATATTCAAACACATTGAAAATTGTTGCCATTCTCAATGCTTGTGTTAACGAATAAAATACAAAGTTTTTCATAAGCAAGAATGGAATAGGCATATGTTCATGAACAATACAATATATCAAACGGAAACTGGATATTACCTGTATTTCAATTGTGAATATCATTTTTTCACATCAAACTCTTTCTCGCCCTATTGAGACGTGGGAAATTAGCCTTTGAAACGACTAAATAAAAATCAATGCTTTAAGATAGTTATATCATTTCGAACTTTGGCATTTAGTGGCTTTCGAGACGACTAAGTAAAATTTCGACCTTTGGCATTTAGGTGGTCTGACATCGAAGGAGTTACTGAACTGTCCCGACAGCTAACTCTTCGTTGGTTTGCAGGTACAAACAAATCTCGCTATGTAGGACTTGACAGCATCAGAATAATTAATTTACTGGCATCACTACATGGCAACGAGGTTTCCCCAACCTATAATTATTTACCGAATTATCTACAACGTTTTTATAATTAAATATTCATTTCAAAAGAGCCTGTGCAGCGGTTAACATTAACAAAGAAGTCAAATATCCAATGTCATTTTAAGAAATAAAGGCTTTGACGAAACGTTCACAATGGAATTATCACTTGAAAAGCATACAGTTAAAATGTTGTAATTCAGATATTATTGAGAAACTGTAATGATTCTCGATATCAAAATATCAGGATGTACTTTAATTCTTCAAGTATTCGCTTTTGGATTGATGAGGGATTATGCAATCAAAGTTGAAAGAACGAAATCACCGTGTTTGTAGTGAGGCACCGTGTCAAATGATTCCAATCATTACGTATAATCCTATTCATTCTCTCTCATAAGTACTCTGGTTTCTCTTCAAAACCACGAATAAATCTTTCGCCTTTTACTAAAGATTTCCGTGGAGAGGAACAATTTAAGAGTATTTACTCATTTTTCTAACCCTGTATTACACAGGGGAACAAGTTATCAACATATTCAAACATATTGAAACTTGTTCCGATTCACAGATGTTTGTGTTAACGAATCAAATACATATTATGTCGTGAACAAGAAAGCAAAACGTATATGTTCACGAACAATACAATATATCAAACGGTAACTGGATATTACCTGTTTTTTTAATTGCAAATATTACTTTTTTCACATTAAACTCTTTCTCGCGCTATTGAGACGTCTGAAATGAGCCTTCGAAACGACTAAGTAAAATCACTGCTTTAAGATATTTGTATCTTTTCGGCTTTTGGCATTTAGGTGGTCGGACATCGAAGGAGTTACTGAACTGAACCGACAGCAAACTCTTCGTTGGTTTGCAGGTACAAACAAATCTCGCTGTGTAGGACTTGACAGCATCAGAATAAGTAATTTACTGGCATCACTACATGGCAACGAGGTTTCCCCAACCTATAATTATTGACCGAATTATCTACAACTTTTTATAATTAAATATTCATTTCAAAAGAGCCTGTGCAGCGGTTAACATTAACAAAGAAGTCAAATATCCTATGTCATTTTAAGAAATAAAGGCTTTGACGAAACGTTCACAATGGAATTATCACTTGAAAAGCATACAGTTAAAATGTTGTAATTCAGATATTATTGAGAAACTGTAATGATTCTCGATATCAAAATATCAGGATGTACTTTAATTCTTCAAGTATTCGCTTTGGGATTGATGAGGGATTATGCAATCGAAGTTGAAAGAACGAAATCAACGTGTTTGTAGTAAGGCACCGTGTCAAATGATTCCAATCATTACGTATAATCCTATTCATTCTCTCTCATAAGTACTCTGGTTTCTCTTCAAAACCACGAATAAATCTTTCGCCTTTTACTAAAGATTTCCGTGGAGAGGAACAATTTAAGAGTATTTACTCATTTTTCTAACCCTGTATTACACAGGGGAACAAATTATCAACATATTCAAACATATTGAAACTTGTTCCGATTCACAGATGTTTGTGTTAACGAATCAAATACATATTATGTCGTGAACAAGAAAGCAAAACGTATATGTTCACGAACAATACAATATATCAAACGGTAACTGGATATTACCTGTTTTTTTAATTGCAAATATTACGTTTTTCACATTAAACTCTTTCTCGCGCTATTGAGATGTCTGTAATGAGCCTTCGAAACGACTAAGTGAAATCACTTCTTTAAGATATTTGTATCTTTTCGGCTTTTGGCATTTAGGTGGTCGGACATCGAAGGAGTTACTGAACTGAACCGACAGCAAACTCTTCGTTGGTTTGCAGGTACAAACAAATCTCGCTATGTAGGACTTGACAGCATCAGAATAAGTAATTTACTGGCATCACTACATGGCAACGAGGTTTCCCCAACCTATAATTATTGACCGAATTATCTACAACGTTTTTATAATTAAATATTCATTTCAAAAGAGCCTGTGCAGCGGTTAACATTAACAAAGAAGTCAAATATCCAATGTCATTTTAAGAAATAAAGGCTTTGACGAAACGTTCACAATGGAATTATCACTTGAAAAGCATACAGTTAAAATGTTGTAATTCAGATATTATTGAGAAACTGTAATGATTCTCGATATCAAAATATCAGGATGTACTTTAATTCTTCAAGTATTCGCTTTGGGATTGATGAGGGATTATGCAATCGAAGTTGAAAGAACGAAATCAACGTGTTTGTAGCAAGGCACCGTGTCAAATGATTCCAATCATTACGTATAATCCTATTCATTCTCTCTCATAAGTACTCTGGTTTCTCTTCAAAACCACGAATAAATCTTTCGCCTTTTACTAAAGATTTCCGTGGAGAGGAACAATTTAAGAGTATTTACTCATTTTTCTAACCCTGTATTACACAGGGGAACAAATTATCAACATATTCAAACATATTGAAACTTGTTCCGATTCACAGATGTTTGTGTTAACGAATCAAATACATATTATGTCGTGAACAAGAAAGCAAAACGTATATGTTCACGAACAATACAATATATCAAACGGTAACTGGATATTACCTGTTTTTTTAATTGCAAATATTACTTTTTTCACATTAAACTCTTTCTCGCGCTATTGAGATGTCTGTAATGAGCCTTCGAAACGACTAAGTGAAATCACTTCTTTAAGATATTTGTATCTTTTCGGCTTTTGGCATTTAGGTGGTCGGACATCGAAGGAGTTACTGAACTGAACCGACAGCAAACTCTTCGTTGGTTTGCAGGTACAAACAAATCTCGCTGTGTAGGACTTGACAGCATCAGAATAAGTAATTTACTGGCATCACTACATGGCAACGAGGTTTCCCCAACCTATAATTATTTACCGAATTATCTACAACTTTTTTATTATTAAATATTCATTTCAAAAGAGCCTGTGCAGCGGTTAACATTAACAAAGAAGTCAAATATCCTATGTCATTTTAAGAAATAAAGGCTTTGACGAAACGTTCACAATGGAATTATCACTTGAAAAGCATACAGTTAAAATGTTGTAATTCAGATATTATTGAGAAACTGTAATGATTCTCGATATCAAAATATCAGGATGTACTTTAATTCTTCAAGTATTCGCTTTGGGATTGATGAGGGATTATGCAATCGAAGTTGAAAGAACGAAATCAACGTGTTTGTAGCAAGGCACCGTGTCAAATGATTCCAATCATTACGTATAATCCTATTCATTCTCTCTCATAAGTACTCTGGTTTCTCTTCAAAACCACGAATAAATCTTTCGCCTTTTACTAAAGATTTCCGTGGAGAGGAACAATTTAAGAGTATTTACTCATTTTTCTAACCCTGTATTACACAGGGGAACAAGTTATCAACATATTCAAACATATTGAAACTTGTTCCGATTCACAGATGTTTGTGTTAACGAATCAAATACATATTATGTCGTGAACAAGAAAGCAAAACGTATATGTTCACGAACAATACAATATATCAAACGGTAACTGGATATTACCTGTTTTTTTAATTGCAAATATTACTTTTTTCACATTAAACTCTTTCTCGCGCTATTGAGACGTCTGAAATGAGCCTTCGAAACGACTAAGTAAAATCACTGCTTTAAGATATTTGTATCTTTTCGGCTTTTGGCATTTAGGTGGTCGGACATCGAAGGAGTTACTGAACTGAACCGACAGCAAACTCTTCGTTGGTTTGCAGGTACAAACAAATCTCGCTGTGTAGGACTTGACAGCATCAGAATAAGTAATTTACTGGCATCACTACATGGCAACGAGGTTTCCCCAACCTATAATTATTGACCGAATTATCTACAACGTTTTTATAATTAAATATTCATTTCAAAAGAGCCTGTGCAGCGGTTAACATTAACAAAGAAGTCAAATATCCAATGTCATTTTAAGAAATAAAGGCTTTGACGAAACGTTCACAATGGAATTATCACTTGAAAAGCATACAGTTAAAATGTTGTAATTCAGATATTATTGAGAAACTGTAATGATTCTCGATATCAAAATATCAGGATGTACTTTAATTCTTCAAGTATTCGCTTTGGGATTGATGAGGGATTATGCAATCGAAGTTGAAAGAACGAAATCAACGTGTTTGTCGCAAG